TGCTGACCAGGAAATTTCACTCCTGGGAGAGGGTGATGCTGCAACTAAGTACTGGTCTGTAGTCCAGAGGGCAAATGACCCCATCTTGGGCCTGTTGTTTTTTGTTTTGGTTTTTTTAAATGTCATATACATTTCTCAATTTTTACAACACATCTGTACTTAAAAAAAAATGGAGCTGGAAAACCGAGAGGTTAAGAAACTTTCCCAAGGTCACAGAGCCTTTTTAAGTGGCAGGGCAGGAAAGGGAACCCAGCCCAGTCTGACTCCCAAGTTGGCGTCCTTTCCTTTAGCGATGTTTAAGCACCTTCAAAACACCAGTCACATCTTATACTTACTTTTTCATCCTCACAATGCCAAGCAGAAGCTGAGCCCTTAATTCCTGCCTACCTTCTCACAAGCTCAGAAGCCCCGATTTAAAAGGTCCTTCATTATTCCATTCATACAAGATGAGGTTCCACTCCCAGTATGGCGAGAGTATGGGTCCTGCCCATCTTTCAGTTTTGGTTTGGGAAGGAATTCCTCAGACAACCCTCTCCGCGACTGAGCAACTACTTTCCGTCTCCTATTCCGAGGCCAGGAAGAGCCCCGGCGGCCTTCGTGCTCCCCGCGGGGTTGCCTGATCCTCCCGCGCCTCCGCTCTCCCTGCCTCAGCCACCTCCGACTCTCGGCGTGGCCGGTGCAGGGAGAGGACCACCCCCTCGGTCTCGGGGGAGTCGGCACTGCTCGGGGACGGCGACCGCGCGGGGCGCTCCGAGCGTCGGGCGCCCCCGTTCCACGTGGCGGAGCCGAGGGGTTGTGATCTCGGCGGGAGCCGGACGGCGGGAGGCCGGATAGGCGCCGCCGGGAGAGGACGGCGGTGCGCGGCCCTCGGGGGCCGCCCCTCGCCCGGGAGCCCCAGACGCTTCCCGCACCGGGAGGTGGGCGGGCTCGGCGCGGCCCCTCCCGCCCCCACCGGCGCCATCGCCGTCGCCCCGGAGACGGCTCGGCGCGCCGCCCGGTCCCCTCAGCGCCCGCCCGGTCCCCTCAGCGCCGCCGCCGGCGCCCGGGCCTACCTTGCTGGTGAGGTCCAGCTCCGGCTCGCCGTTGAGCGCCTCGCCGTCTTCGCTGCAGTCCGAGTCGAAGCCGCCGTGGAGTCGGGCGGCAACCGCCGCGGCCCTGGCCGCCCCCGGGGAGCTGGGCTCGGGGGCGAACATAGAGGCCGGGACCGGCGAGTCCATGGGGGAGCGACTCCGCTCCGCCGCCATCTTTAATAACTTAGGCTAATTCGTAGCCGGCCTCCCCTCCCTCCTCGGCGTATTTGCCTAATGTATGCGTGGGCCCCGCCCCGCCCCTCATCGGATAATTTATGCGAAACTTCTCCGGCCGAGTAGAGGGTGACACGTATCTCTAGCTAAGAAACAATCGACCAGGCCTCTCAGCCACCAATCACTGCAGCCCTTTCAAGTACCTAATGAATAATTAATGCGGTCCAAACCCCAACAACAAATGTCTGAGACGTCACGCGCCTAGTTCGCAGCTCAGGAGGGGGCAGCACCGCGTCCAGGCTACCTGCCTGGAGCCTTCCAGCCAACGAGACTGGGCAGAGTATGACTGACACAGCAGCCACCCAATGAATGGGGAAATACGCACAAGTTTACCCTCACCTCCCTCTTTTCCATAGGCGGTGTTCAGTTTCCAAATCTTACTGTAAAACAGTCGCCGCGGGACAGCCTTCCGATGATGGACAGGGGCAAGGCCCAATCTAGTCACCCGATGGGTTCCGCGCCTCGGGCCACCGCCCACCGAGATAGTAAACTGCACAAGGCACCTCCCTCCTCTCAGTGACTCCGGGCAGTCCCTGGAAGATCGAGGTCGGACGTGTTGGCAACCTCCAATTTTAATAGAAGGATCGATGCTTGGAATACTATAGCAGCCAAAGCGAGGCAATTAATTAAACGCTGACCTTAGGGAGAATTCTCCATTCACTGCCTCTGCGGAGAGAGCAATTACAGGGCCAAAAAGAGGCAACCAGCTAAAACACAAGCCCAAAGTACCTCGCCACATTTGTGAACTGTGAAGCTGAGATCTAGGGTCTGTTAGGGTAGTTTCCCATGGATGATTTTTCCAGAGTATCATCAGTTGTGGAAAGTCCCAAACCGCAATACCATCAGCACAAGTTTTAGGTGTCTTTCCCTGTTTCAAAAGTCTGAAAAGCGGGACGCCTGGGTGGCTCAGTCGGTTGAGCGTCTGCCTTTGGCTCAGGTCATGACTCCAGGGTCCTGGGGATTGAGTCCCACGCTAGGCTCCTTGCTTAGTGAGGAGCCTGCTTCTCCTTCTCACTCTGCCTACTTGTGCTCTCTCTCTGTGTCAAATAAATAAATAATCTTAAAAAAATAAAGTGAAAAGCTTGATAAAATGAGGGATTAGCCAACATTCGCATAAGGCTGGCCTTGGCCACTCCTCTCAGGCAGCAATCAAGAAAGAGCAGCCATTGAGATGGTAACATAGCCAAGATTTAGGGTTTGGAACACAGGATTTAGTAAGAGTCAGGGTTCAAAATGACATTGTTTCAGGGATACACCTGAAAAAAAAAAAAAAAAGGCAACCTCTGCTTGCTCCTGTTTTCAACAAATTTTTTTTTTTTTAACAATCAAGTTTTATGTGCACAAACACAGCTGGGAATCTGGGACAAGTCATTCAACTCCAAAGGTCTTGATAATAGCTCTTCAAATGCTTTTTTTTTTTCTTTTTCTGCCTAATCTGCTCACCATTATCCTATATATGCCTCTATGAGGTAGTTAAAAACATTAAAATCTTGATTTGGCAGAAAAGCCAAATATCAAGCCTTAGTACTCTAGAGTAGTAATTGGTATTTACCATCTTACCGACTGGCTCTTCCAAAAAGAGCTTAAGTTCAGAATGTGCTGACATCTATTGGTAGACTAAAAAAAAAAACATGTCCTTCTCACTATAGGGCTTGCCCATAAAAAAACACTCTCAAGAGTAGATGCTTCTTGAACAGAGAATTTTAAAAGTACATTTTGGGAAGGGAACTGCCTACCCATTTTTACATCCTCTTTCTGAAGACGTTCTAGAGTTCAGGTTCCAATTCCGGGTCCACTGCTTACTAACTGTGTGACCTGAAACAATTAACTCTGAGATTCAGTTGTCGCCTCTTAAAAAAAAAAAAAAAAGCAGCTGCATAGTTAGCTATAAATAAATGAACAGTGCTTGCAAGCCTAATGTTATGAAAATATAACTGCAACCCTTAGGTGGCTTACAAATTACAAAAATTTAAGGTAAGTCAAAAGTTGTCTGGATTAGGGCAGGACTCCCAACCATACGGTAAGCACTCAGGCGTGTGTTAAAGTGGTAACTGTGGTGAGTGTCCTGGTGTTAGGAGAGTCGTGTTGTATAGCAAGGTTAAAGAAATGCCTGAATTGTGTAACCTGTTTTTTCAATTCTCTGCACAGAAATCCCAAAGAAGGGCAGCTAGGGTAGATAATGCTTTCCACACGACCTAGAGGTAAAGGGAAAAACGTCTACACGGAACTGGGTGTTTACCTTCCTGACACTCGAAACACCTTGAAAATATCCAGGGAGTAGTTCTGTGTCAGCCACCGTGCGACCAGGTGGGAGCCCGAGCGCAAGAGGCCAGTGGTCAGTGTGTAGTGCACAGAATTCGACAGCCCTGAAACGGGACTCTCCATTCCGCCTGAAATCTGAGGCACTTACCCTCAGCGCTCCCAGGGAAGTGCGAAGCGGCCGGGCCCACTAACCAAGACAATTCACTCCCGGCCGCATCAGGTCACCTGGTGAACAGCGCGCCAGACAGACAGAAAACGGTCAACGAAGGAGTAGCTAGTCCAGGTTCTCGAAAGCACTCCGCTCGAGAAGCCCGCCCACAGAGGGAAAAGGGAGGGGAAGAAGGCGAAGTGCAGCTGCAGGCCGGGTCGCCGCCCCGGAACGGCGCCGATGCCCGGGGAGGGGTGGGGAGCGGCGGGCGTCGAGGCGAGACTCCCGCCGGCCGCCCCGCCCTACCCAGCCCCGCAAAGAACCGAACCCAGGAGTCGGGCATGAGCTCCGGCTGCCGCCGCCACGCTCTACGGCTCACGGCCCACAACCCCCATCCGCCTCACCTCAAGGCCACCCACACCCACTCAACCGACGGCTGGCAGCCCGGGCCTTAAAGCCGGCGCCGCCTGACGACAGGCTGACGTCATACGTGACGCCGCGGCGGGCGGGAGCGGGGACGGCGCAAGAGGGCGTTTCCGGAGCACGCGCCCGGCGAGGGCGGCTGACGTCGGGCTCAGGTGCGCGCGCTTGCCCGCCCGCCCGAGCGCGGCCCAGGTGGCGGCCCGCAGCGCCAGGTGGTGGCCTGCAGCGGTGAGGGGGTTGACCCGCGGCGTGGGTGAGGGCAGCGGCGGGAGGGCGTGTCGGCTTGCACTCACGTGATGGGCGGGGAGGTTGGGGTGTGGGCGGTGAGGCGAGCCGGGTGGGCTCGACCCCACCCCTCGCGGGCCTGCCAGTCGCTGCGCAGGACCTTCCCTCGGGCTGGGGCCGGGCCCGCCCCCCCCCCCCCGCCCCCCCTCCCCCGCCAGCCTGGTTCTCCGCGGCGGTCCGCTTGACCGCGGGAGCTGACCGGGGTTGTTTCCTCTGCAGGGCCGCGGCGAGAGGGTGAAAGTCCGCGCGTTCCGAGGGAGCCGCCCCCGCCTCGGCCCGTGCCCTGCGGGGCCCCACCGCACCAGAGGGGATGGAGAGCCGCCCCCGAGGCCCCGGCTCGGCCCGCGATCCCACGGTGGCCGGCCCTCGCTAGCGGCTCGAATTTTGCATTTTACCCACCACCTAGGCCTTGTCTCCTGAGTCAGTGGCGTTGCGGTTTGAAAGAAATGGAAGAAAAGGAGCGATGTGACCAATTCCGTTCGGTCCTCCTGCGTTGAGGTCTGGTTGGCATTTGCAGACAGGAAAATACGGCAAGAAAATCGTGGGTTTTTTGTTTTTTGTTGGGTTTTTTTTTTTTTTGGAGGGGAGGGTGGGAGAAGGGAAACAAGGTCTTAGATCGTCTATGATTTTTTTAAAAAAATCTGCACTTTGACAGTAGTGGCGAAATACACTAATCCAAAAGTGATATTTCTGTTGATGGAGGTGGATTTTTTTTTTCCTTTTGATTCCAACCTTTCTCCCCGTGACAAAGCATAAATCATGGAGACCAGAAAATAAGGTGGACCTCAGGAATCCTGAAAAGACTGAGAAGCTTACATTCTTCCTCTGGAGGGAAGGGTGGGGTGTTTTTAGCCCTCTCTGGAACCTAAAACGAAAACATGAGTTGCGTGCCATGGAAAGGAGACAAGGCCAAATCTGAATCTTTGGAGCTGCCTCAGGCAGCACCCCCACAAATCTACCATGAGAAACAGCGCAGGGAGCTTTGTGCCCTGCATGCCCTCAATAACGTCTTCCAGGACAGCAATGCTTTCACCCGGGAAACGCTGCAAGAGATTTTCCAGAGGTAGGGGACCTTCTCCTTGGCATTTTTACACTGTTTGCTATTTATGAATTTCTGTGGGTGGGGCAGTGTCTCAGCTACATAAACCTTCAAACCAACAGGTATTATTAGCTAGATGTTAGCAGTTATAAGGGACACAGATGGGAAAAATAATCACCCTCGTTGATTGAGCACTTACTATATCGACAAGGCACAGTGCTAAAAGCCTCAGTTGTGTGATCCCCTCAACAATCCCATGGACTATGTGTTATTTCCATTTTATGGACATAGACAGGGCTCAGAGAAGTTCAGTAATTTGCCTGAGGTAACATGACAAGAGATGGAGCCGAGTTTGAATTCAGGTTTGTATCTGTGCGGTTGATCGCTATGTTGTAATACCTCTCAAGTCCTGCCCCCGAGCGGTTACAGTCCCGAAGGGGGACGGGAGCTGTACACACTAAGTCACCTCTCCTCAGAGGTGGAATGCTGTGGGTTTTATAAGGAAGGTGCTCAGCTATACACAGTGCTCAGTTTGTCTATGCAGCCATGTGCTGGCCGTGGTGCTTTTCATAAGTTGCTTTGTATAGCCCTCCCCAGCAGTTATTTTACTGTCTCTCTTTTACTGATAGAGCAACAGGCGGAAAGGTCAGGTAGTTTGCCCAAATAGCTTCTGAATAGCAAAGCTGTGATTTGAAGCTGACTCGAGCTCTCTTCCCCGTTCTGCTTCATTCTCTATGGCCTTTTATACCCACTTTGCTAAGTGCTGCCTGACAGGTTGATAGAAGTTCAGCCTTTTCTCTCTCTACTTTGATGTTCTAAAATTCTTTTTATCAGAGGGTTTGAGAGTTGGTTCTCTAGTGTCTGGATGGACACAGCAGCTCCTCTGCTCTGCTACTTCCTGAGTATTGGAAAAGGCATGTCAGAGCAATGGTATGATCCGTACCCGTTCACCCTGCTAGTAAGTTGGGCCTGGGTCTAAAGATACGGACTGTGATTATAAGCTGTTTGTGGATAATTGCTGTTTGCGGATAACTCTTTCAGTTAGTTGTGTTTTCCCTGAATGAAAGAATGCTAAATATTTGCTAAACACTCAACATGGAACCAGAGTTCTATTCCTGGCTACTAAAGCTCTAGAAAATTTGTACTACGCTCCCCAGTTTCCTACCAGCACAAGGTAAAGATCCATCTCAAAGTAATAGCAATAGCAAGTATACTCAGCTTCCACTCCAGAGGCAGAATTCTATGTAGGGCATATTGTATGGAAAGATTCAATGTGGATAGAAACAAAGAAGCATGAAAGGGATCAGAGAAAAGGGAGAAGAGGTGAGGAGAAGAGGGAATTTTATAAACAAACATTTACTAGCGGCCTGCTGTGTGCCAAGCACTGCTAGGCACTGTAGAGAAAAGTTGAACAGGACTCAGCTGCTAAGTACATCCCAGGCTCTACATTGACCAGACCTTGAGAATAAACTTAGGTGAAGTTAGAACCCTGGAATTTAGAACCATTTGAAAGGGAAAAGATGATCTGTTTGGATCTTAATGGAAAGAATAGTAATGTTGGCAGGTTAAACTAGATAATTTTAAATTCCCAGATACAAAGTTTTATGCTCTTTTGAAGATGGGGCTGATGAATGGGAGAAATGGGAGAAAAATTTTGATGAATGCTCTTTGTTGAGAGGAAGTTCATCCTAGCAGTTGAATTTTAGCCAGATAAAAAAGGAGAAATACAAAAGCAGGGTGGAGTTTCAGTAGTTGTGGATATGAGATGACTCATGTTTGGAACAGAAATGAGTAGGAACTAAGAAAAAACTAAAGCCAGTGGCCCAGCAGCATGGGGATAGGGAATAGAGGAGTCAAGGTGGCAGAGTCTCAGTCCAGGATTTGAACATAGTGCTGAGAACCACAGTGATGGCAGAAGAGGTCACTGGTTTGAAAAGGATCTGTTTTCAACATGTGTGTGAAATTAGAGAAAAGCTCGGAAACTTGGCAGCTGTCATCGTGCACATATACAGATGTGGATATCTGATCTTGTACATCTCATCATATATGAGCCTGTGCTTTGAAAAAGGAAGAATTTAGAAGTCAAATGATGTAGTAGCAGCTTTGCTGAGTTGTTTGGAAAATTCTCAGTTTCAAACCATTTTCACCAGACTCATCTCAATTGTTCAGTGATTAAATGTTCTTGCAGCTGGGTATGCACCTCACCCCCTGCAAAAAAAAAAGTAGCTGTTAAAATCTAAATAGATGAAAACTAGGTTGGTACCATTCAAAAACTCTAATGCAAGCTGGACGGGACAAAGAATTTTAGATATTGGTGAACAACCAGCATTCTTTTACCAAGAGAAGTCTAACCCTCCCCATTAAAAGGTCCCTGAGCAAGTGAAAGGAGCCACATTTAAAGGTGTGGTGTTGGTAAATTGCTAAGTATAGAGTGTTAACCTCTAGAGATTGAAATCATTTTGTCCAAGGGCCAGGCAAACACATCATCATCATTGCCAGTACTTAAAGAGTACATCGATGTGCCTGGCCCTGTGATCTGTGCTTTATATATTTAATAATTTAAAGATCCATCATCAAGTTCTGAGACATATTTTCTAAGGTCACATTTCTTCAGATCTGATAAAAAGGAAAATAATAATTAGGAGAGAAAAGGAATCTTTTTTTTTTAAGATTTTATTTATTTATTTGACAGAGAGATATAGCGAGAGAAGGAACACAAGTAGGGGGAGTGGGAGAGGGAGAAACAGGCTTTCCACTGAGCAGGGAGCCCGACGTGGGGCTCAATCTCAGGACCCCGGGATCATGACCTGAGCCAAAGGCAGATGCTTAACAACTGAGCCACCCAGGCGCCCTGAGAAAAGGAATCTTGGTGAATGTCTCCACATCTCCTTTTTGTTAAAATCTGAAATCCTCATCGTAGCCGGACACAGGAATAACCACAAGGGAGGACCAGGAACTCACCTGAGGGCATAGGCATTAGTGAGACCTGGCTAGAGCCCATTTTCTCACTTGGAGATCATCGCTTCAAATCCCATGGCTCTAACCTGTGGCTGTGACAACAGAAGTGAGAGGCTTGCTTTCTAGTCCAGACCTTCTACCCAAATCATGAAGACCATCCTGAACAGGAGTTTGCCAAGGAGTCTCAAGAAAAGAATCACAGAACAGGATGCCACGGAGTTCACTGGGACGCGTGTGTCAAACTATCCGGGAGACCATTGAGTGTATTAGGTGTAGGGGTTGGATCCTAGCTCCGTAGCCCTCACCAGCTGCATAGGGCTGTGCAAGTCACTGTAGCCACGCTGCATCTCAGCTTCCTTATTAACACTGTGGGATTAAGTTCTGTCTTAAGACTGTTGGAAGGATTAAAAGATAAAGCTCGTAAGAGTAGCTAACACAGTGGGCACCTGGTTATGGTTAAATAGAAACAAGTACTGGTATAATGGCCCACTGGGCAGACCCCACTTATTCAAATGACCACTCTAGGAATGAGATGGAGGCCATTCTCTGCATTCCCTGTAGTGATATCACCTAGGCCAGCCCGTGTTTACTCAGTTGCCACTGCTTTGCCGTGAGGGCTGCAGAGTAGAAGAGCCATCCCCTGTGCTTCGGGAATTTGCTATTTGGTTGGACACGTATAAGATAATGGAATTCTTGGGCGCCTGGGTGGTTCAGTTGGTTAAGTGACTGCCTTCGGCTCAGGTCATGATCCTGGAGTCCCGGGATCGAGTCCCACGTCGGGCTCCCTGCTTGGCGGGGGGGTCTTCTTCGCCCTCTGACCCTCCCCCCGCCATGCACACGCGCTCTCTCTCTCTTTCATTCTCTCTCTCAAATAAATAAAAAAATCTTTTAAAAAAAAGATAATGGATTCTTCAATGGTCTTGTAAGATGGGGATTATTCCCATTGTTGCAGATAAGCCAACAGGCACGGAGATTAAATCACACAGTTAGTATTGGTGCTGCTTGCTAGGATACTGTGTGGTCCTCCCCATCTCCCTGTATTTTCTACGCAGAAGCCAGGAAAGATTCCATGGAAGAAGTAGGATGTGACATTGACCTTGAAGAAGCTTTAGGATTTGGCTTGGAACAGGAAACAGGATGAAAGAATAGAGGCCACATGGTCGTGGTGTCTGAAGTGCACTAAAAGGGGCGCCTGGGTGGCTCAGTCGTTAAGCGTCTGCCTTCGGCTCAGGTCATGGTCCCAGGGTCCTGGGATCGAGCCCCACATCAGGCTCCCTGCTCCACGGGAAGCCTGCTTCTCCCTCTCCCATTCCCCCTGCTTGTGTTCCCTCTCTCGCTGTGTCTCTCTCTGTCAAATAAATAAATAAAATCTTAAAAAAAAAAAAATGAAGTGCACTAAAAGCCCAAGGAGAGGGGAACGGCAGGCTCAGTAGGGCCAGGAGGGTTGAAGTTAGCCAGTGGGCAGTTGGCTCCAGTGGCAGTTCTCACGTGAGAGAGTGAAATGATAACTTGGTGAATGTGGCAGGAACATTTAGGTGACTTGGTGGAAGGAGAGTTTGGGAACAAGATCACTTTATTTTATTTATTTTTTAAAGATTTTATTTATTTGACAGAGCGAGAGAGGGAACAAGCAGGGAGAGTGGGAGAGGGAGAAGCAGGCTTCCCGCCAAGCAGGGAGCCCGATGCGGGGCTCGATCCCAGGACCCTGAGATCATGACCTGAGCTGAAGGCAGACGCTGAATGACTGAACCACCCAGGCGCCCCAAGGAGATCACTTTAGCAACCTGTTTCAAAAGCCCAGATATGGGGCAAGGAAGCTCCAGCTAGGGGAGAGCAAATGGGAACAGACAGAAGAGGGATGGAGCCTGAGATAGAAGCTGTGGGACATGGAGAGGAGACCCTGGGAACACTCCTGTAAGGTGCACCTCAAAAAAAGGTTTGGTTGTATATGTTTGGGATCTGAAGTCTACCCTGTCTCCTCAAGACTCGAGGTGAATATTAGCATATTAGGGGCTCCACAAATTCCCGCAGGAAACCCTTTTATTCGATTTATTCAGCCATTAATG